ACCGTCTTATCACTCACGCCAATGGGTCTACCACCGACCGCAGACACTCCACGAGAGTCTCGACACCTTGATTACATCAAACAATATACGCGCTTTGAATGACATATCTCTGGTGTCAACAACCCTGTCATGGATTTCTTCTCACAGATCCATTACTTGGGTAACCCTTACCCAGAAGCCACTGTCCTGTAAGGATACAACCACAACGCAAACCGGCGACACTGTTGTTGGGCGATTGCGCAAGCAATGCACGCTCCGCATCGAACATCTACCACTTCCGTCCTCAAACAACAAAGTCTATTGCGACGTCTCCTTAGGTCACCCTGGGCCAGTAGTCCCATCAATCTTACGCAAAAAGGTTTTTGATACACTACGTAAATCAACACACCCAGGCATTCGCGCCTCAGTGAAACTCATTACCAAACGTTTCGTGTGATACAACATCAAAAGAGACATCCGTCAATGGGCGCGCTACTGTTTGTCCTGCCAACGGAACAAAATTATTTGCTACACAAAGAGTCCACTAGCTCTGTTCCCGGTCGTCGACGAGCGTTTCCACTACGTCCAAAAATACTTGGTAGAACCCCTGCCACCATCGAAAGAGTGTATCGGTATACTCAACTGTATAGATCGTCTCACCCGGTGGCCGGTACCTGTGCCTTTTTCTTCCGCATCCAGCGAAGCAGCGGCACAAGCCTTCGTAGAGGATTGGATACCTAGCTTGGGTTGTCTTGTAGTGGTTACAACCGATCGAGGTTCTCACTTCAAGGGTATTTTCGCACAACTACTTAGGCACATAGACATTCACCTCGTCCAGACTACTGCTTACCACCTGGCAGCCAACGGGATGGTAGACCGTTTTCATTAAAACCTGAAAAGTGTTCGGGCAGCACAGGTGAACCCAGACCGGAAGGAGTCTCTACCCTTAGTCCTCTTGGGTTTGAGATTAGTCTTCAAAGCTGATCTTCAGTCCACACCGGCGGAGTTGCCTTTGGGTCGCACATTGCGTCTTCCAGATGGTACCGACCCATGCAAACTTATTTCAACCACGGTACCTATGCAGCTCGTTTAGTACATCGAATGCGACAGTTGCATATTCAACTACCTCGCCAGCAAACACCCCTAGCCTACCTCCCCCCGCGCTTAGCCGAAAGCTCGTACGTTTTCCTCATGGTAGAGTTTCGCGCACCACTGCAACCTCAATACAGCGGTCCACATAAGATACTGGGACGCTTAGAGAAAGCCTACGTCATAGAGCGTAACGGTAAATGTGAGACTGTCAGTACTGACCGATTCAAACCTTCACACTTGTAGGAAACCATCCCTTCCACTGATCGCCCCACCCCCAGTCGTTGCGACACCGGCAACTCCCGCCCCAATAAGTCCTGCTCCATCCATCCCGGAAAACCCTTGGATGAAGCACCTGATCCCGACCGATCCCATAGAATCACTAGCCGCGGGAGAGTCCTTAATTTAGCTGTACGTTTTGCCTTGTAGCAGGTTCTTACAGTTAGCAGCAAACAGAATCATTTAGTCCGTGATATAATTATTTTTTCTTACACCTGTGTATCCATATATGCAAAACTGAAAAGATCGAAAGATCCCTTTTCTTGTTGTTTTTATTTTTTCCACCATGGTTCATTTTAACCCTTCGTTCTTCCCTTCTCCTGTCAGGAGAACAACCTTGGCCATGAAAACGCAACGTCCTCAAAACTCGGGAAGAAATCTTCGGTCAAGGCATGCACACACCTCAGAACCTATGAAGAAAACTTTGATTAGGATAAAGTAACAAGGAAGAAAATTGACACGTCTCCCATTCCTCCCACAGCTCCAGGACAATATGGATATCAAAAATCTCTTTCTGACAGTCCGGTCAGTTTTTTACTGGCTCATGCCTAGCTGCAGCGGTCCTCCAATTTTCTCCGAAGACAAAGCAAAACGGGGCAAGTAGGGAAATGACGACGGGCCTACAGATATTTTTCCATGACTTTCATTTTCTCACATTTCTTTGTGGACCGGCAACCCCTGCCACAGTAACTGAAACTATTTTACAATATTGATAATAATAATAATGTTATATTTCTCGGATTACAACGAGAGACATGCATGTAATGCATGATCATGGCAGGCAAGGTACAACAACCATGGCCTCCTATAATACGCAATAAGATGTGGAAACATGGTCAGGATGTTTGTGAAAACGAGGCATAATGTAGAATTGTTAGGTGGAATTTTTTGTTGTGTTAATGCTCCAGTTCACGATGCAGCGTAACACAATTCCAACTTCAAGGTCACCAATATACTCGGAGTGATGGTAACTGGGAGCTGTACTACCGCGCGATTATTTGACTTCGCGCTCTTTCTGTTTGGCTTGAGTTTTCTAACGTTACATTCCCAAATTGGCTTGGCGTGCATTTCGAAAAGTGTTGTTGCTGTTCTACTCCCGTCGTAAATTGCAAATATCTCCATTTTGAAGGAATCAATGCGTTGGTTTTTTCCGTGTAAAGTCTGACCATCGTAAATATCACGGTGCGAAGTTCTCTATCGCGAATAAAAATTGTTTGGAAATATATTTTCGAACCTGAAATGGTAAACCCCAAAAATGACATGTTACTTAGACGACCATATTTCATAGTACTTGATGGTAAATCTAGTAATAAAATAGTTTAATTCATTGTTCCCATCTTTTTAAGTATTCTAAATAATCTTAAATCCGCATTTAACTTCACAAAATACAGTCCTTTTTGTGAATCTAATAGAGCTTTATATTTATACATTTCGAAAAATAAAATTTTTCATTCTAATGCTTTCCCTATTCCACTCCGACTATTCTGTTGCAAAATGATAGGAATAAACAACGTGATCTAATGGTTTTTAGGTAGAACAGATCCGCACTTTCTCGGAGTGATACCTTTCCCTAGAATGACTACATAAGCGCAGATATGCATAAGGATGAATGAAGTTTAAAAATATGAAACGTTGAAGGTATTATACAATAAATTCAAGAAGGAAAACGCTAATAGGCAGGTGGAAGTGATCGTATACCAAGTGATACAACGGAGTATCATGAGGGTAGAAACTATGACAACGATCCGATTGGGGAGACACACTCGAGACACTCATTCGTTTACATGTAGAAATATTGCTTACTACAGGCAAAGTTTTATTAGCTAATTTTCGAGCTTATCAAAGTAACAGCGACGGAAAAAAATATTCCATCGATGGCACTAGGCATGACATAAGCCTCAGAATCAAGAGGCCGAATGCTTCATTGCGGAAATCTAGTTTAAAGAGATGCATCGAGTACGAGTTATTTGAGGGACATATTAGGTTCTGCAATCAAATAGAGAAGGCAGGCACACTAGACAGGCTGGAATTCTAGCCATAATCATTTTAGAGCTAGAGGAACGGAAGAAGAAATTAGGACAGGAATTAACTTTGAGGTACATTAGACAACAGTGTTTAACTGATGGGGGCCAAGAAGCCCGATGATATTGCGTACAGGGTTAGAATGGTTGTTTACCATTGGTGTTTCTCATTGTTGTTGTAATCAAGGGCAGCACAAAAATATATAGCTGGAACCCCTTTTGGGCCATAAAAATGGCTCACTCCCTGTCTTCAGGGCTGGTCAGCGACCAAGCGCTACAATTTGCACCTGTTACCCGTATGATTTGGGGTTCGTCTTACTTTATCAAATCCTTGGAGACGTTTAACAGTTGACTACCAACATTTCCGTGACAATTCATCAAGCGATCCAATCATTTGGACGATCAAACTACGGCAAATAATACATGAATCCTTGAAGAAGGCTCTCCCTAGCCCTCTAGGGGGAACTCTGTAATGACCAACCAATTTCCGTTCTACAAGTACCCATACTCCTTTGCATCTTATTGTTTACCACACTAAAGCCACCTCTTTGGTCAGGCACGTGTTTGCTTTCACTTTGCACACGCTCACGCTTCCGTATCTCCATTTTACTCTGGAGGTCTTGAACATACAACCCGTCCTCCGTTTCATGAATCGTCTCGTTCTGTTTCCGTACGAACGTCCATTTGTGACATATAAGTATTAGCTCGGGGCATCGATAAGCTAGTGCTTGCGATATATCCTCATGTAACAGATGCAGTTGTAATCCGGTGTTCTCAGCTGCGGTGAACACTTGGCCGTACTAATATTTTAGCATTTCAGCTGCCTTCTTTTAATGACCGAAACACGTTCTACCATTCTTAATGGTGAAACGCCAGAATAAACGTTTGTGGTGACATTTATGCGTCTGTACAACAGCTTGTGAATTGATGTGAACTTGCGCATGAGCATTTCTTGGTATATTACCTTGTCTACTCGCGCCAACTTGGTACAGCGGTTTCAGAATTGACAGTAGCTATACCATGTTTTTTTAAGAACATCGTTTTTAAGCTCTCCATGAGATATTCCTCTGCAAAATCCACTTCTTTGTCCGCCTTCGAGTCGTTGATCTTTGACCAGTTGAATGTGTGATCCGTTAGGTCTTCCCAGCGACCTTCACCATTTCCGTTTGGTGGTTTATCAATTCCTCCCAGGATACTCCACATTTCAATTTGCTGCTAAAGTAGACTAACAACCCACTACCCCTTATAGGTCGATCACGTCTGAGCAGGGTCCTGCCGGGTAAGTTTAATTCTGAGTCCAAAATGTCGGCTGTCAGCCAGGTTTTAGTGATTGCAATAATGCCCCATTGATCAGTTTGGCTACGCAGTTCTACCTCTGAAAATTTACTGACGCAACCTTGAGAGCTAGTGTAGCAACAATGCAGTTGGTGGCAGAAAACTAACTCGTCGGGATACGGAGGGTTAGTTGAACCGACCGTATCGTGGTCGACTAAAAGAAATATTTTGAGAGAAGAGTGTTTTGGGACTGATCTGCCAGTTGCGGGAAGGAACATGAAGTCTGTGGGAACCCAGCTTTTATGGAGGTGATGTTTTCTGCTTGAGGAACACTTTTCTTTATACAATTTTGGCGTGGAATGTAATTCAACTTCGAATATTCTAGTATTTTATTTGATACTGCGTACTAGTTTGATTGGAGCATAACTTCACGGATTTATTGTGACTTGCGATTCGATAACAAGTATATATTATCTCAGGTAGCGTCGCAGTCGGTTTATATCTGATTATGGACACCTGCAACTTGGAAATCCTAATATTCATTCGAATTCACGTTGTGTGAGATTATTTGGAGCGCTTTGAGATTTCTCGCCCCATTCGCAAGAGTCTGGATGCGTAAAAGAAGACGGCGAGTTTTCGTACTACTGTTGGAGAGGAAGCATATGCACTGATTAAAATTTGGCATTCCCAGAGTCACCTATACAACTGAAATACGACGAATTAAAGGACCCGCTACGAAAGCATTTCCAGTCAGTCATCTTTGAGGTAGCTGAGCGAGCGAAATTCCAATGCCTTACTTGTGATACTAATCAGTCCGTCCGAGACTTCATTCATGAGCTGCAGATTCAGGCTGCGCGCTGTAATTTTAAAAATCAGCTTCAAACCCAGCTTCGTGATAGACTCCTTGCTGATATTAACTGTTTTGAGCAGTTATCGAAGATTCCAAACTGCACACTACAAACCGCGAAGTTGGTCTGTGAACAATATCAGGATGTACGTGCGGTCGTAAGCGAGGAGTCGAAAGTATTTTTCAATCACAATCGCGGTTCAGGGCTTGAAGCTCAACAGACGCGGCAGTTCCAACGTGTCAACACAGCCGTTAATCATAGTTGGACGTCCACGCAACCTGTGAACTAGTTTATTTTAAAGACTGTTCCTCAACGTTTCAAACCACGTGTGCATTTTAACAGAACTGACGTTTTGGTCAAGAGTGACTAGCCGTAACCCAGGTAGCACAGCGTAGCGCATCGATCAGCTACAAGAAGCTACTTATGAGCTACATCAGCTATACTTGTTTTTCAAACGTAATTGACCTTCTACAAGTATTTGTAAAATAACTCATGGGTTTAAAGGCCCATTTAATAATTAATTCCGGCAAATAACTCTTATTTTCAGTGTTTTACTTCCGTGATTGAGTGCGTTGTAATCAGTGCGCAAACTGCGCTGAATTCCCTGGCGAGATAGCGAATGTGAAAATAAAGGTTCGATAGTTGATTAAAGATGAGACGATTGTCCGCCTTAGAGCAAAAAACTAAAAACAGGATATTATGCAATGTGGCTCATTGTAGCGACCTATTGGCGAGCTATTAGCCGACTATTGGGCAACACGTGCGCTACAATTTTGGTGCCGTGGCTCATTTATAGCTCAAATATAGTCAGCTATTACGCGCTATGACGTGCTACCTGAGAACCTTCCTGTTTTTGGTTCGTGTGAACTACTTCTTACTGAGGATGAGCAGCACACACTTCATTGCTTCTTTCTTGTTATTCATAGCGGTATTTATATTATTGGTGTCGGTTCTATGAAACGCATGGCAATTTCTCATTCATTTTTCACTGATGATCAACAGTTGAAGTCTTGAAGTAGTCCTCGGGTTCGAGGCTTGCGCCCAATATTCCCGGTTCCGGATTTTTCTTTTTTTCGGCAGTTTGGTGCACGAGCTGAAAGGGATGTTCACGGGAATGGGAGCTGGCTCCAATATGGTGCCGCTGGGTTAAGAGTGCATGCATCGGGAAAAAAATCTAGAGAGCGACGATGTGAGAGTGGTAGTAAAAAAGATAAGCGGGATAATGTGGGGACGTCCTGTAGCAGATGGAGTTCAAATAGATCAGGGGATGGTAAGCCCTAGGTGTGA